TAACATCAGCACTGCTGAGGTGGGAAGTGGTAAGGAAAAGAGCAGAGGTAGGAGTGGCTATCTTCCCTTTTTTATATCATTCCTCAGGTACAAAGCATGGCCAAGATCAGAAAAAGCAAAGGGTTGTCAGCAATTGTCACCAATTGCTAATTATAATCTTAGCTTATAATTAGAGCTAAGATTGAGAATCTTGCATTATTATAAACTTGGGAGATGTGAATGAGGTTATTAATGTTAGCTAAACTGATACAGAAAAAAATATGTACTTTATACCTCTAGTATTTTCATTTTCCCCACCAAAATAATTTTAATGCAATCATTCCCGGCAAGAAGGAAGACAGCATCTCTGTACTTGGTGCTGTGTGCTATTCCATCTACTACCTTTCACTTTCAATTCCATTTTCTCCTTGCGTCTAGTGTTTACTGCGGTTAGGGACAGTGGATACAAAACTTTAGGTGGGTCATAGACAACTTAAAGGGAATCTAATATATAATTATTTCATATTCTTTCTGGAAATTCAAAGCACCAAAAATTAGTGATTAGAAATGCAAAATTAGTAGAATAAAATCTTGTTTTATCAAATGAGGTTCTATTTTAGAGGATGTGTAGATATCCCTAACATTGCACTGCCTTATCTTACTCCCAACCTTAGAGCAGATTGAATTATCAATTATTCCCCTCTATATTTCAACAATGTGTCTTAGCTGGGGTGAATACTCATTCTTGCTGAAATATACAGATGCTTATAAAACCTAGTCAAGATCCATCCAGAACAGACAAGACAAGTACACGTCTCAGGAGAGCTGAGTGTGTTACCTGTACTGGCTCCTTTTATCATTACCTCTAGCCATGGCCACATCATAAAATACTTGCGTCACTTACCAAGGGCTCCTGTCTCTTCAGTAAAAGCCATGAGCTGCTTTCAGAACTATTTACCTATCTGCTTACTCCATTTCTACCTTCACAGTTGAATTTCGAATAGATTATATTAATACATACTTTTCTATAATTGCTCTGCATTGCTTTGCATTTAGTCCTATCATGTACATCTTTTCCATATCAGCAAGTGTAGTTTTCTGGTGTTCCACAGAATTCCACTGGATCGTTGTACTATATTTAATCAGTGAGTTATATAAAATATTTATTTTTTTGCCTTTACAATGTTGTAATGAAAATCCTTTTATATAAATCTTTGCATACTTTTTATTACAACAGTAAGACAAATTTTAAGAAGTGGAATTGTTAGGTTTAAGGTCAGATGCCAGGCTTGTTTTCTATTAATTAATATTCCTTATTGCCGTACAACATGATACAGAAAAGTAGATATATCATAATTGCATAGTTCGATGAGCTTTCACAAAGTGAACACACTTATGTAACCTAACCAGGTCAAGAATCAGAATGTTACCTGAAATCCAGAAGCCATTTTCATGTCCTCTTTTAGTAACTATCCTTCTGACGGGCAATTACTTCCTGGCTTCTAAAGCTATAGATTAGTTTTGTCTGGTTTTGAATTTTTTATGAACAGAATCCTACAGTTTATATTCCTGTTGATGGCTTCTTTTTGGTACATGTGTTTAAAATATTTGGTAGTGCAGTGGGAATTTCTCATTCCTTATTGATTCTTGACTTCTTAGCGTAATTAGACACCATTGCCCATTCCTTCCTTTATCTTTTTCTTTTCTCTTCTATGTCTTTCTTCCTATCTTCCAGCTGCTTTCTATTCCAGAACCTCCCCCTTCACTCACCTTAAATAGTTGATGTATTCAAGATCCAGTCCCAGACAATCTCAGCCAAACCCATGGCTTCTGTTACCATCTGTATGCTTCTAAATTCATATCTTTACACAGAAAACTTCTCTGAACTTAAGACTCAAAAATATCCAACTCGATTCCATCATTTGTACGTTTTAATACTCAATATCCCCAAACTGAACAATTTCCCCTTCTCTCAATTGCTCCAGACCTGGCACTGTTCCAGTGTTTCTGATCTCAGTGAAAAGTACCACCAGCTATGTGTTTCCCAACACAGAAGCCTAGGGGTCATTCTTGACATTTCTCTCTCACCATACCCTACAGCCACTAAATTACTAACTCCTGATAACTTTTCCTCCTAAATAGCTCAAGCAACTATTCACGTCTCAATATCATCATTGCCAGCATTCAAATCCAAGCTACCGTCAACTTTGGCTTAGACTGTAGACTCCCAACTAATTTCCAAACAGATTAATGCTTTGCTCAAAACTCTTCATTGGTTTATATATTACATGGAAGAATTTCCTTAGATTAGCAAAGCAAATAAGGCCCTATATCAATCGAGCCCTTCATACTTCTGAGTCTCTCTCTTCTTCCTGTCCTTCTCTCCTTACTCTAGATATTTCTCTGCATATTCCTTAAAAGGGTCAGAGACAGAATTGAAATTTGAGCAGTCATACCCAACATGATTAGTTGGAAGAGAAAGTAAGAAAAAAAGGTAAAAATCTTTCAAAATATGGGATCCGTTGTTGGGGTGGAGGTGGAAAATTCAGAAAGCAATGAGATAAAGGACTATCCATTTTCAAAGTGTTCCAAGACGCTCAAGGAGCCAATTAGCATAATGTCTAGTAGTATAGGCTTTGGAATCCAACAAACCTAGATTCTGATCATGACTTGGCCACTTAAAGCCTGCACGGCTTTTGATGAGTCATAATACCTCTAAGCCAGAATTCCCACAATAAGACAATACCTTATCCTTCACAAGGATTAAGTTATATATTATACATCTAGTATTTGGCTCAATTATCAGCATATAGTTCAATGTTAAGTGACAGGCAAATTATCATTTGGAAGAAAACAGGCTATACTAATATTGCCATATATCAGGCAGGTGCAATCCATGCTTAATCAATGCTAAAGATAATGAGCATCACTAGGGCAGAAACTAGACCATATTCTCCCAAGAGGTTTCTGTACTCCAGTTACTTGGCACCAAGGGTAAGTTTCCAGGTAACCACGGGCTCAGGATGACCTAAGCACATATTCACTCTCAAGGAGTCTTATTTTTTATTAAAATGTGCTCTATAATATTAGCCAGTTTGTTTGCTTTTCTCAGAATAAATATCTAAAATTTGGATTTTCCCCTATCTTTGTTGTCATGATTTCATGACCTCCATGGGGATAAGAAACCAATATTTTCTATATGGCTAAGTCAGCTTTATCCGGATTAGACAAATCTTCTAGCCATTGTTTTTGTGCCTGCTTTTGTTGCAAATGGAAAACACAGCTGGTGATGTTATTTCTTTCTTTACTGTCCCTGAAAGATACACACACACACACACACACACACACACACACACACAATTGGAACTCAAAAATAAATGACAAGCATAAAATAATAAAAGTATTATTTTAATTATTCAAGCATTTAAATTTTCTTTATAAAAAGGATACATGATTTAGTGAGAATAGATTGAAATCAAAATGACAGCATTCTGGCTTGGCCTCCTGCACTGATTACACAGAATATAATCTTGCAGAAGTTATTTTCCCTAGTCCTCAAGTTTTTATATGTAATGAAAGAGTTAAAGTTTATTATCTTATCAAAATTCTATGAGTATACACATATGCTCATAGAAGATATGAATGGGATATATATATGTATATATGCTTACATGTAATTTGCATACCCAGATATACATCTATATATGAATCTTAGTTTCATATAGGAAAGATTATAAATAAGGGGGCTGAAATAGATTATTGGTAAGATCTAGTCCTGTAGTTACACCATCTGTTTATAGCATTAAAATGCCCATATCTTCATGCAGCCAAGGCAACTGAACAGTGGGAACCTGTTAGAAATGCAGATTCCCAGGCCCTACCCCCTATTTCCCGAATCAGGAACTGTGGAGGAGGAGCCCAGTGTCCCGTGTTGCAACTTGCCCTCCAGGTTCTTCTGATCAATACTAAAATGTGAGACCCATTGCATTTGAACATTCCCAGGGGAGAACTATAGGCTAGAGTCCTAAGCAGAAGTGGTGAGTGTGGTGAGCTAAGAGCTTTACAATAAGGGGTTAATAAATGAAATAAGCAATACGCCAGGGGCTGGCTAAATAGCTACATAGTTAAAGTGTTACTGTTACTAGATTGACTAGACTAAAAAAATAGTCTTCTGTCTAATGACTGCCATCTGCTTCTGTAACCCTGCTTACAGCTTGCTTTAAGGATTATAATCTGCCTTCGGGCACCAGAGATCTATGAGGGCAACTATGTCCTGTGACCTTGTATCTCACAACCCAGACTCCACTCCCCGCTTTTGTTCCCTAAACACCTGCCCTATGTCACATAGCCTCCCTCAAAAATAGTATAAAACCCTCATAAAAACTTGAGATGGGGCCATCCTCTCGTACTACTTTTATGCCGGCGGAGGTGGTCTCTGGCCAGCTAATAAAGACTCTCAATTTGGCTTCATTAAATTCTCCTGTGGTCTGTTCGCGCCCTCCACACTACAACAGTGAGCAAGTAATTAAGGTAGAAAAGCAGGATACTGTACAGAGGACTTGAGGCAGAGGCGGTAGGAACACAGGTAGGTGAGCAGGGGACAGGGGAATGTTATGGCAGGAGGGAGTTGGTGTGGTTGTGAGAATACAAAGCAGACCCCAGGCAGCAGTAAAAAAGCAGTAGCCACATGGTCTCGTGTTCAATCATTTTTTCTCATGCAGTAATTCCTGCTAGTATACTAAGAACTGCTGGCTTTGGAACCTATTCCCCTGCAGTGGATCCTAAAGGAAGACCATCTTCTTCTGTTCTCAGCCACAGACACCCCTGACCCCTATGGTTACCGACTGTAGAAACCTGAGATGGGAAGAGTTAAGGCTTCTCAGGTTGATCCTGTATGTCTTCTCCCAGCCCTTTTCAACAACCCAAGATTCTCCTGATTCCAGTTTTAATTCTCCCCGCATTGGCAGCCAGAGTGTGTGTATGTTTAGGGAAAGTAAGAAAATTCCCGGAGCGTCACTGGGCTAGAGGCGAGGCTGGCCAGAGAAAGTCACAGGGGTGAGAATAAGCCTATGAAAACGACAAGGTAAGAATTCAGCATGCAGACTCTTCAGGAGGCTTATAGATGCCATGTTGTCATCCAGGACATTTCCCTGAGAGGGGAATCCCCGGCTTTGCAACTTCCTAGCCAGTGTGAGGGCCACCAGCCGGCTATAACCTTTCCTGCGATGCTCTGGCAGGGTGCAGCCATGGCACATGGTGGCAAACTGGTCTGTGATAGACCAGGAGACTGGGTTTCCCTTGTCGTCACGGATGCACACACTGGGGAAGCAGGAGATGAGGTTGGCGATGTAGCGGAGACATTGCTCATTGCCACCCCGAGACCAAGTCCGGTTGAGTAGATCAGCCTCTGTGACGCTCAGGTAGGTGAGTCGTGGGGAAGGCCCTTTCCTAGAAGAAATGACATGAGAAACAGGAGCTCAGAATCATGTGACTGTAAGTAGCTACTTCTCTTTTCAAACTGATTCAAACTGAGAAACCATCTCTGAGCCAGTGCCTGACATTTTCAGTGAGTTAAAATAGGCCATTTCCCACTTGCAAGCATCTTTCAGGGTTTCATCTCTGATAAAACAAAACACTTATTACCAAATTTAAGTCGTTTTAATTTTATGTCTACCTGTTTTTGTCCTCAGTACGGATTAAGGAAAGCATTTCTGTTATTAAATAAATTCATCCTGAGGCTGCCGCCATACCTCAAGTCCCTACGTATTGAACTGCAATCTAACTTAGTATGTAAGCAAACCTCCTAGGAGTATAACAAACAGCTGAGTTTCAGGCTCTCACAGGCAGCTAAGTGATCAGACCATGCCCAGATAAGGCAGGCATCTAGCTGTTGCCAGTTAGGTTATTTCTGTACTTTGCATCTGTGTCTGGCCTATAAAAGCTCACTGTGCACACTGCTGGGTGGAACTCTGAACCTCTACCTGATTTTGAGTGCTGCCAGATTCATGAGCCATTCTTTGCTCAGATAAACTCTGCTAAATTTATCTGAACTTTTTCTTTTTTTTTCAGAGTCAGAGTCTCACTCTGTTGCCTAGTCTGAAGTGCAGTGGCATGATCATAGCTAACCTTAACCTCAAACTCCTGAGCTCAAACGATCCTCCTGCTTCAGCCTCCCAAGTAACTAGGATTACAGGTGTGTACCACCATGCCTGGCTAATAAAGTTTTTCTTTTAACACTGTCTTTCTGTAAAAAAAGATTGCTCTTATTAAGAATTGCTCTTATTAAGTCCTGACTCCGCTGAAATCTTCTGTGAGGCTTAGGGTAAGTCCAGATTCTTGGAGCCCTAATCTTTTGCTCAGTAAAATAAATGTTTTAACATAGAATTTCTATCTTTACATATCCATGGCCAGAAAAGAAACACAAGTTTCTTAATTTGCCAGGTATACATACATGCTTTGGCAATGTTAGTTCTTCCAGACTGTCCCCTAGGCCTGCTCTTCTCTAGGTTAAATATTCCCTACCTCCAACTTCTCCACTGGCAGTATTTTTATAGGCCACTAGCCTTCATTATATTTATTTTCATGTTATATAAGTTGTTATCAATTGACTGTATAAAGCCCCTGATATTAAGATACAGAAAAAGGAATTGGTACAATTTCTAAGAACTGAGATGGATCGCTCAGCTGAAAGCCTATGAGGCTGACAGCACCTCAGAATTTGCTTTCATTCTTGAAGTTATCAATATCATTAGGTCATTCCAGTCACTGCTAAGAGACTGCTGATGTTCTTGCTATGATTTTTATGAAGTATAGTTTTTTTCTTTTAATTAGCTGTCTGTAATGTTAGCTCACATTCCAGGTTTACTGTCAGCTATGGAAGTGGGCCAGTCATCTATCCCCTAAGCAGGGGTGGAAAAGAAAACAATAACTGGCTTAATGAGATTTTCAATTTTTGAAAATTAACTTTAAAGCAAGGAAGGACAAAGACGCCTCAGGCAGAAATGTTGCTGCAAATAAAAACATTGCCAAGGCAAGCGTTTCAGGAGTAGTTTATGTTAGAGATGCTAACTTCTATCTGAAGGTCAGCAGATTCAAGATAGAGTTCACAAATTTGGGTAATAATTTAGGTGTTAAAAACAAATTGTCTAACTTCCTGCAAAAGAGATCAATTAAAGTTAAAAGCCCGTTTTAAAAAGCGTGACTGGGGACAGAGGGAAATTTTAAGTAATACCTGAGGGATACAATATAGTAAACAGATGGTGGGAAACTCTAGAGAACAAATAGTCTGATTTCTTCAACAAAAAATATAAAAAATGAACATGAAGGGGAACCTACATGTCAAAGGAAACTTCAGATATATTACCCAATTCTACTGTATGGATTTGATTTAGATGTTGATTCAAAACAGACTTAAAAAGGTATATTGAAAAACCCCACCAGACTGTGTTATAACTTTGAATTCAACTGTCATACATATTGAAATAAAAAAATCAATAAAAAGACTTAAAAATCTTATGAAAATTTGAGAAATATGAATACTAACTGGTTATTTTACTTTAAGGAAATATTGCTAACAAAATTGTAAGGGATTGTGCAGAAAAGAGATAATATAGAAGGCTTGAGGCTATTACCCTTAGAAAGGCCTGATTATAAGGGTGATCCTTCCTGGTGTGTCTAGAAACTTGGATCTGGGAGGGGTCCTGCCATTCCCAGGACTCATATAAGTGGCTCACTGTGACTAAACTGCAAGAACAATGTTGTTGATGCTGAACATCGACATTCCTTCCAGGAGTCTAGGAAATTGGTTTGTGCAAGGCAGAGGATGCCTCCAATAAAAATCCTGGGTATTCAGTCTCTATGAGTTTCTCTGGCAGACAACATTTTACGTACATTGTCACAATTCATTGCTGAGAAACAGAGCACATCCTGCGTGACTCTACTGGGACAGGACTCTTGGAAGTTTGTGCCTGTTTTCCTCTGTATTTTACCCAATGCACCTTTTCCCTTTGTTATTTTGCTTTGTGTCCTTTCATTGTAATCAATTGCAGCCATGAGGATGACTACATTTGCTCAGTCCTGTGAGTCAACATAGCGAATCATAGAGCCTATGAGTGGTCTCGGGGACCCCTGACACAGGAGCGATATTGGTATTGTGCTTTTTGGGGGTAAAGAATCCTAATCTTTTAGAGATACACCTTAAAATATTTAAGGATAAAATCTGAGATATTTCCTTCAAAGCAATCCAGGAGGTGGAAAGAATATACAGGGGTATGGATTAGATAAAATTGCATTCTTGTGATTTAAAATGTACATTTTTCTTTAGGTTTAGTCCTGTTTTGCTCAAAAATTCAACATTCACAGTGCCAGTGAAGAAAACTGGTGTTCACTGAGGTGGGTATTCTTCAAGTATCCTGCTTCATTCTCTTACAAAAAACATGTAAAGAAAATATTAATAATAATAACAATAGGGATTATTCTTATTTTACAGAAATGAAAATGGGTTCAGAATGTTTAAGGTACATCTCAGGCCACAAAACCAGTCAGTGGTAGACCATGAAAGCAAATAGGGATCTCCTGGCCTCCAATGGCGATACAACACTTTCATTCACTCTGTGAAGTACAAAGTCATACTATGTAAAGACACAAGGAATTCAACATAGAGGACAGGTATAGAATCTGGAAGGGACCTTTAGTTTTAGTACAAAGGGTTATTGTGATTTAATTTATGATTTCTACATTTTCAAAGCATTTATAAGACAAGAAAGGCAAAAGCACAAAACACTTCTATTTCTCCAATTCCAACTCACTACAATTTGTTCCTCTTTTTCTTATCCTCCATTCCGATGTCTTATCACGAACACCTTGGTTTTTATTTAGGTAATTTGAAAACGCTAAACAGACTTGCTCTCAAACTTGCATTTAGTCATAACTACGATCTTTGCGTCATGGCAATTTTCACTTAAGGGAAGACAGGTTTGTAAGCAAGCCATTCACATTTAGGAAAAAAATATTTATTATGTTTAATTCTCAATAATTATGTAAAATTAAAAAATAAACCAGAGAAATCAACTTAAATAATCTTTATCATTATTGAGTGGTAAATTTGAACTTACACTCAGATTTATTAACTTGAAACCAGTCTGCTTTCCACTATGGGTTACCTAAATGCCAAACCATTCTCTAAGAAAGGAGATGAGGATACCGGGGTAAAATTTTAAAGAGGTTTTGAGATAGGTACATAAAAGAAGTTGATGGAGTTAATTCCTAATGACCAATATTTTTTCCCAGTTTTTTTTATTGTGATAAAATCTACATAACATAAAATTTACCATCTTAACCATTCTAAATATATAGTTCAGTGGTATTAAATAAATTCATAATGTTACAAACCAGCACCACCATCCATCAGCATAACTCTTTTCATCTTGTAAAATTAAAAATTTCTACACATTAAACATTAACTCCACATTCCTCCCTCCCTCCAGCTCCTGGGAACCACCATTCTACTTTCTGTCTCTATGACTGTTCTAAGTACAACATATGAGTAGACTCATGTAGTATTTGTCTTTTTTGTGATTTGTTTGTTTCACTTAGCATAATGTTCTTAAGGTTCATCCATGTTGTAGCATATGTCAGAATTTCTTTCCTTTTTAAAGCTTAGTAATATGCCTCTATGTGCGCGCGCGCGCGCGCGCGCGCGCGCGTGTGTGTGTGTGTATGTCACAATTGACTTAATTTGTGGCCTAACATATGGGCTTATCCTGAAAAATGTCTCATGTGCAACAAGAAGACTGTGGATGCTATTGTTGTTGGGTAGAGTGTTCAGTATATGTCTGTTATATGTAGTTGGTTTATTATGCTGTTTGATGCCTCTACTTCCTTACTTGTCTTCTGTCTGGTTTTTCTAACCATTATTGAGAGTAGGGTATTGAAGTCTCCAACTATTATTGTAGAACTGTCTATTTCTCCCTTCAACTGTCAGTTTTCACTTCATATATTTTTATGGTCTGTTATTAGGTATGTAAATGTTTAT